TATTTATTTATTTATTTTTAGTTTTCAGCAGACACAGCATCTTTGTATGTGGTGCTGAGGATTGAACCCGGGCCACACGCATGCCAGGCAAGCGCGCTACCACTTGAGCCACATCTCCAGCCCCTAAGTAAAAGTTATTGTGTACAACTACCAAAAAATAAATATTAAAAAAATTTTAAAAATTAAAAAATAAAATGATGTTGCCCTTGTGTTTTGCATAGATAGCTTTTACAATGAGAGGTATGTTCCTATTATTCCTAGTTTTTCTAGTGTTTTGAACATGAAGGGGTGCTATATTTTGTCAAATGCTTTTTCTTAATCTATTGAGATGATCATATGAGTCTTATCTTTAAGTCTGTTGATGTGATGAATTACATTTATTGATTTCCATATGTTGAACCAATCTTGCATCCCTGAGATGAACCCCACTTGATTGTGGTGCACTATCTTTTTAAATGTTTTTGTATTCAATTTTCCAGAATTTAATTGAGAATTTTTGCATCTATGTTCATCAGGGATATTGGTCTGATTTTGTTCCCTTGATGTGTCTTTGTCTGGTTTTGGTATGATGRTGACACTACCCTCATAGAATGAGTTTGGAAGGATTCCCTCATTTTTTCTTTCATGGAATAATTTGAGGAATATTGGTATTAATTCTTCTTTGAAGGTCTTGTAGAACTYAGCTGAGAATCCATCTGGTCCTGGGCTTTTCTTGATTGGTAGGCTTTTGATGGTATCTTCTATTTCTTTTTGCTTGAAATTAATCTGTTTAAATTATGTATGTCCTCCTGATTCAGTTTGGGTAAGTCATGTCACTAGAAATTCATCAATGTCTTCAGGATTTTTTATTTTATTGGAGTAAAAATTCTTTAGTATAAATTATTTAGTTCTATAGTTTGTTCAAAATAAGTTTCTAATTATCTTCTGTATTTCAGTAGTACCATTGTGATATTTCCTTTTTTATCACGAATTTTAGTAATTTGAGTTTTCTTTCTCTTTCTCTTCATTAGCATGGCAAAGGGTTTATAAATTTTATCTATTTTTTTCAAGGACCTGTTTTGCCAATTTTTAAAACTGTTTCTTTTTTTTTTTTTTTGAATTTTTAATATTTTATTTTATTTTTTTAGTTCTCGGCGGACACAACATCTTTGTTGGTATGTGGTGCTGAGGATCGAACCCGGGCCGCACGCATGCCAGATGAGCGCGCTACCGCTTGAGCCACACTCCCAGCCCCTTAAATTGTTTCTTTTGTTTCAATTTCATGGATTTCAGCGCTGATTTTAACTATTTCCTGTATTCTACTGCTCTTGGTATTGACTTTTTGTTCTTTTTCTAAGTCTTTGAGATGTAATGTTAGGTCATTTATTTATTGACTTTCTATTATTTTAATGAATGAGCTTAATACAATGAACTTTCCTCTTAGTGTCCCAGAGATTTTGATATGTTGTATCATTGTTTTCATTTATCTCTAAGTATTTTATTTCATCCCTGATTTCTTCTGATACCCATTCATCATTCAATAGCATATTACTTAGTCTCCAGGTGTTGAAGTATCTTCTAATTTATTTTAATATTTTACTATTTCTAATTTCATTCCATTATGATCTGATAGAATGCCAAGGTAGTATCTATTTTTTCGTATTTGCTAAGAGGTTCTTTGTGGCATATGGTTTATTTTAGAGAAGGATCCATGTGCTGCTGAGTAGAAAGTGTATTTACTCATTGATTGATGAAATATTCTATGTATGTTAAGTCCAAATTATTGATTGTATTATTTAGTTCTATAATTTGTTCAGTTTTTATTTGGAAGATCTATCCAGTAGTGAGAGAGGTGTGTTAAAATCACCCAGTGTTTTTGTGTTGTGGTCTATTTGATTCTTGAAATTGAGAAGGGTTGTTTGTTGTACATAGATGCTCCATTGTTTGGGGCATAAATATTTGTGATTGTTATGTCTTGTTGATATATAATTCTCTTAAGCAGTATGAAATGTCCTTCTAACTTTGGCTTGAAGTTCATTTTATCTGAGGATGGAAACCCCTGCTTGTTTACATGGTCCATGTGAGTGATGTTTTCTCCCATCCTTTCACCTTCAGTCTGTGGATGTCTTTGCCTTGGAGACAACATATTGTTGGATCTTGTTTTTTAATCAATCTGCCAGTCTGTGTCTTTTGATTGATGAGTTTAGGCCATTAACATTCAGTGTTATTATTGAGATATGATTTGTATTCCTGGTCATTTTGGTTTATTTCTAGTTTTTAATTTGACTTAGTTTCTCCTTTGCCTTTTCCTTTAGTGTAGTCCCTCCCTTTGCTGGTTTTCATTTTTTTCTTTCATTTCCTCCTCATGGAATATTTTGCTGAAAATGTTCTGTCATACAGGCTTTCTAGTTGGGAATTCTTTTAATTTTTGTTTATTATGGAGGGTTTTTATTTCATCTTCAAATCTGAAGCTTAGTTTTGCTGTATATAAAATTTTTGGTTGGGATCCATTTTCTTTCAGAGCTTGGTAGATGTTGTTCCAGGACCCACCTCTGAGGATCTGGGCTGAGATACCAGCTGAGGTCCAAATTGGTTTTCCCCTATATGTAATCTAATACTTTTCTCTTGTGGCCTTTAAAATTCTACCCTTTTCCTATAAGCTAGGCATTTTTATTATAATGTGCCYTGGTGTACATTTAGGGTCCTGTAAGCATGGTTTATTTTAAAACTGACATTTTTCCTCCTCTTCTTCCCCTTCCCCTCCATAATAGTGGGGATAAATGGCTACCAATTTACCAACCCTGGCTAAGCTACCATGTCCTTCATATCTGGAAGGATATGACTACCCACCAGACTAAAAAACTTCCAGACCCGGGCCTGGAGCAATGGCTCCTTCAAGGACATCCAATGGACATAAATTAATTCTATCTACTGATGATATCTGGACCCCTGCACTTGTATTCCTATTTTAAAAGCCCTGTGTTTCCCCTGGGAAAGAGAATCACAGCCTCTGGGATAGGAGACTCCTGTGTTTCTCCTTTGCTTGCAAATCAGTAAGATGTTTTTTCTTTTTCTCAAAATCTTGTCTTTATTATTAGGTCTGTAATGGAGATAAGGATCAAGCTTGCAGTATCAACATCCAAGGAAGAAAAATCAGGCTGAACTCAGAACTTTCTAACTGCAATATTTAAGGACTAGGACACATGGAGTGAGGGGCTGAATGTTGTGAGTAAAATCCATACCTTAATCCTGGCAAGTGTGACCTTGTTTGAAAACAGAATCTTTGGAAATCTGATATGGGGTCCCCTCTTATCCTCTGAGAGTTTTGTTTCTATTCTTGAATAGATCTTACTCCTTTCACTCTTAAAAAAAAAAATAGGGGCTGGGGTTGTGGCTCATTGGAAGTGTGCTTGCCTTGCATGCGTGGGGCACTGGGTTCAATCCTCAGCACCACATTTTAAAAAATAAAATAAAGGTATTGCATCCATCTACAACTAAAAAAAAAAATTTTAAAGAATCTTTGGTGGGGTGATTAAGGATTCCGAGATAAGGAGATCATTTGGTTTATCCAGGTGGACCCTAATGCAATCACAAATTCCTCATAAAAGAGAGGCAGAAGGACATTGAGCAGATGAATGAAGAAGATGCAGCTTGACTATGGTGACAGAGATCAGAAGGATGCTGCCACAAGCTAAAGAATGCTTATAGTAGGCCTGGATTGTGACTCGGTGGTAGAGCGCTTGCCTAGCACGTGTGAGGCACTGGGTTCGGTCCTCGGCATCACATAAAAATAAATAAAGGTCCATCAACAACTAATAAGATATTTAGAAAAAAAAAAAAGAATGCCTATGACACAAAGAGCAGGTTTTCCCTGAAGCCTCTGGAGGAAGTGCAACCTTCTCCTCACCTTGATTTCTGACCTCCTGAACTATGAAAGAATAAACTTCTGTTATTTTACGTCACTAAGTTTATGGTAACTCGTTACAGCAACAATTGGAAATTAACACAGTTACCCAAGAGTATTATGCCTAGTCGATTTATTTTTCTGTCACCAGCATATGGATACTAATCAAGTCATGGGTAAAAATTAGCTCAATTAGGGTTCACAATCCTAACAGATCCAATACATTTAACATACCTTCTCTTTATAATTTGACGCATGTATACACTGCATAACCAACACTACACTCAAATTAACGATCACACCTATAACCATCCACACTGTACTTCAGGTGCCCAGAACCTGCTTATCTTATAACTCAAAGTTTGCACCCTTTGACCAACATCTCCCCATTTCTCCTACCTCCAAGCCAGGTTACACTGCTTTCTCTGATGCTTCTATTCCTTATGTAAGTGACAGCATACAGCATTTGTCTTTCTGTGTCTGGCTTATTCACTTAGTATGTTTTCTAGGTTCATTCATGTTGTTAAAAATTGAAAGATTTGGGGCTGGAATTGTGGCTCACTGGTAGAACACTTGCCTAGAAAGTGTGAGGCACTGAGTTTGATCCTTAGCTCCACATAAAAATAAATAAATAAAATAAAGGTATTGTGTCYATCTACAACTAAAAAAGTTTTTTAAYTGAAAGATTCCCTTCTTTTTGTGGCTGAGTAAAATTCCATCATATATCACACTTCCTTTACCCATTGGTCCCTGGATGGACTGGGTTGATTTCTTGTCTCGGCTGTTGGGAACAGTGCTGGTAAGCAGACCCTGCAGGCTCCTGCTGTACCAGAGAGTTCCTGGGGCAGGAAGTACAAAAACACAGATGCGTGGCGGGTGCCTCAGAGGCAGCTCTGTGGGTCCACAGCAATTTAAGGTGGAATGAGGTCCTTCAATGGGAAGGCTGGTCACCACCTCGACTTGGTGCAAGAAATACAGCAAGTAGAGTCGCCACTGCTGCTGAGGCACCCAGGGATGTAAGCAACATTCATCATGACCCTCCCCTGCCTCACCAGCTGGGTACCACAGCTTGCCTAATGGGGTACCCAGACCTTCACCCCTGAGGGGTATGAGCCCCTGTTGTTGACAGCGTCTGCTGCACTAGTACCTCTCATGGAAGTACTCCAATGCACAACTCCTCTAAGTGCCAGTTGTGTGGTAACACTCAACAGCCTCCTAACAGCCAGGGTCTGTTATCCCTTCCTCTTTTGCCTGCAAGTCCACCAGCAAGAGCTCAGAATGATATAGTTGTGTCTGCAGATTCAGGTCCAGCATCCTTCCCTGCCCATCAGTGGGATCCCCTCATGGAAACAGCCCAACTCCAGGATCCTAAGGCTGTGGAGACAGAGCATGTTTTACATGTGAGTTGTTAGACAATGGTGAGAAATAGTTAATTCCAGCCTCTAGGTTTGTGGACCTGTGTTTTTGCTCCCCAATCCTCACCTGCTGACTCTTAGTGGATCAGCATCACATATGGGGTTTTGATTCAGTGCACATACCCCAACTTCTCAGGATACTGTCCCAAAGCCAAGACCTTAGCTCAGCCTTTAGAGGTCATTCTAGGGCTGGGGTTGTGGCTGGTGGTAGAGTGCTTGCCTAGCATGCACAAGGCACTGGGTTTGATCCTCAGCACCATATAAATGTAAAACAAAGATATTGTGTCCACCTAAAATTTAAAAATAAATATTAAAAAAGAGGTCAWTCTATCTTTTCATTAGACTAGCTTCTTGTGGGTAATGCAGGATCTCAGAGAAGCAGTGGATCCACGGCATTCCACATATTGCCACATCCCTTTCACTGTAAGAGAGTTTTTTGGCCTGAGGCAATGTTACACATGATCCCACGCTGGTAAACTAAGCGTTCTCTAACTCCTGGATAGTGATGTTGCCTGAGACACTGTGGATAGGGAAGGCAAATCCACACTCAGAGAAGTTTTCAGTTCCAATGAAGATAAATCCGCCAGGAACAGTGTTGCACACCTGTAATCCCAGCGGCTCATGAAGCTGAGGCAGGAGGATCACAAGTTCATAGCCAGCCTCAGCAAAAGCAAAGCACTAAGAAACTCAGCAAGACCCTATCTCTAAAATACAAAATAGGGCTGGACATATGACTCGGTGCTTAGTGCCCCCGAGTTTAATCCCCAGTTCAAAAAAAAAAAGATGAATGGGATAGAAAGGGTGGGCTATAACCAACCTGCTAGAGTGACTAGCTGATATTGTCTATAAATGGCAGTACAACAGAAGCTCAGCTTGATCTCAGCTGCTAACAGGTCAGTCAACAGCAGTGATAACTAGAGGAGTTATCATTATGCTCTAACTCGATAACAGCGAGCCCAAGCTAGTAGGCAAAACCTGCATTCCTGTTACCATGGCACCTCCAACCATGAGCTAGCTCACTGTATAGTACAGGAAGACAGAGGCTGGTGTCTCTGTCTTGTTCAGTGACTCCCCTGCCATGAGGAGGCACAAAGATTCACACATGCTGTGACTACTCCCTGGGTCCAGCTGTTTCCCCAGACCTCCAGTCTCTAGTCTTCTGCTCTGGCCCTTTCCTGACCAACCGACACTGTCACACCCAGGATTCCACCTGAACTTCCATAAGCTCCATCTACTCACTCTGCACCAAGTGATAGCCTAGGCACTGCATGAGGATCTGCTCACAGAGGATGCCCCTTATCATCACCCTGAATGGGACTGCCACACAGCAAGCAGCAGTTCGTTTTCAGCTCGTAATACATCAAGATGACCCACTGTGAACCAGACCTGATTTTTATTTTCTGTTGATAGACAGGCATTGGTGCAACAAGGTAGGAGGTGTGGGACCACAGTCACCTTGTCCTGTAGATGACTGCTCCCTCGTGGAAAAGGTTGGCTCCATTCCCAAGGATACCTTTTTCATTGAACAATGAATGAATTATTCTCATTACTTGGTAGATATGACAATGTCTATCCCAGGACAAGCAGACTGAGTTGCAAGGTCATTTGGTGCCCCAATCAGGTGTTCAGCCTCTACTTGGGTGTGGTAGCATGCCAGGGGCTGTTTTTACCTGGCAAGTGATCTTACCAGGTGTACTACAAACCTCCTACTGAGGCTTGCAAGAGGTACCACTTAGGGCCTTTTCTTCCACAGATGAGCCCAACCCAGCCCACTGGTTCTGCTAAATGGCAGGGGAGCCCATCCCCCAATCTAGATCTTCAGGAAAGACTTCTTTTTCTCTATGTCCCACTCAAAACTGGCAGTTTACCAAGCTATCCCCAAAATGGGGCTATATATATATAGAGAGAGAGAGAGAATATATTACTATATTCTCTAGTAAATGCTGGCTCCAAGTAGAGAAGTTCATTAAAGCTAWGCCTCTTTCTTCTTGATTGGGTTGCATAATACAATAACTTCTTACTTCAGAGGCAATGCCCCAGCTTGCCCTAGAACATTGTACCACTAAGATACAACAGATTCTATAACTTCGGAGGCTATATCCTCTAACATTTATGGTCTGAGCATAAATGTTAAGAGCATAAATGTTTATGAGCATCAGTGTCACTTCCTTCTTCACCATGTCAAAATAGTATGACGTCATTTATGACTTGTAGAATGTCCAGATGATAAGGTCCTTACAGACTATGTTGTAACAGAAAGCAGGAGAGTTAAAACAGCCTTGGAGCCACATAATGCATATGGCTGTCCTTCCCATATAAATGTTATCTGCTTTAGATCCTTTTTACTATTGGGAATTGAAAATAACGTTCGGTATATCAGTCACTTCATTATCAATGACAGAGGTGCATTAATTGGTTCCAATAAAGACATCACACCAGGCATGGCTGCTGAGACTGGGAACACTACTTGGCTAAGACTATGGTAGTCCACCTTCATTTACATGAATATATTTGGATTTTCAGGGACCATCTAGATGAAATGAAGGCGTGAAATRGGAAGGTGACACAATTCATACAAATTCACCTGGAAGGCAGTGTTGCTTCTGATTTATAACCCTGGGGGGACCACTAGGGTGGGGAGTTTCTACTTTGCTCCTCCTGCCACATGGTTCTTATCTACAAGTCAGGGAGGGGCAGAATTCCATTTTTCATGAGATTTTCATAAGCCCCTACTCTAATCAGAAGACCAGGATGCTTCAGGTGCCCTGGCGTCAGCTCAAGTCCTGTATCTAACCTTCGGAGTTCTGGATAATCCCTTTTCCATAACAAATTAGTTATTTAAGTGCCTCTAGGCACCTTTAGGGAAGGAGTGGGGAAATATTTCTTGTGTATACTTATGGTAGCACTCTAGAATCTGTCCTCAAGGGAACCCTCCCTTTCAATCAAAGGGCTTTGGGGTCTCAGAACTGGCTCAGATTTAAAAGGAGTGAGGGATCAAGATTTTCTGCGGCAGCAACTGACATTTGCCTTCCCATTCTTGATTTCTTTCTGGTCATTCGAGTTAGTTAGCTGCCCATGTGTTTTATCCCAAAGAGCCCCGAGGTTCAACACAAGCTGCCACAAATCCTAGTGGGTCAAACCTGACCACCACACCCACATGCACTTACCATAGGATGCCCTCCTGGGAGGTGAGTCTGAGCACTCCAAACAGCCCAGGTGGGCCAAGGAGAACTTACAAAACCCCAGATGTCTGCTCCAGAGCTTGATTCTGCAATTGATTCTAGGTCTGGAAACAATCACAGAATCGGTCAGTGAAGGGGGCGCGAAGACGACAACTTCAAGCGGCAGCCAAGGTTTCATTACTCTGAGTTGCCAGGAGTCATCGGAACTGTTCAAACAGCCCCATTCTTTCACTCGCACAATAAACGTTTATGGCACGCACCATATACCCCCACTTCCCTCAACCTAGACGTGCGTCTCTCACGCATCCTAAGACTCTAAACCACACTGCCCAGAAGAGCAACGCTGTGCGGGAGCCCCCAGGGCTCACCTCCACGGTCCGAGCCGCCCGCAGGATCCTGCAGAGGGCGCGCCCCGCCCACGTGTCGTCAGCCTCACCGCTCACGGTCCTGATTGGCCAATACACTTTCTGAGTTCCGGGCCCCGGTCCACACAGCTCCCGGTCTTTCAAACGACCCCCGCCCAGAGGGGCGTGCCGACAAGCGCCCCACCCAGGGAAAGAGACTTTGCTTTTTGCCTTGCACAGGGGAGGGGCTCAGCGAAGACACTCGGCATTTGGGGCCTTCGGAAAACTGAGGTCACGGAGAGAGCCGAGTTGAGCCGGAGAGGCCCGAGTATGACCGGAGAAGCGCAGACCAGCCGGAAGCGGAGCCGAGCGCGGCCGGAAGAAGCCGAATCCGACCGAAGGGAGCTGAGCGCAACTGGGCGTTGGGCCCGGCGGAGCCCGCGCCATGGCGGCGGAGGGGACCACTGTGGCGGAAGGCGGGACAACTGTGACCGAAGGCGGGGCTGTCGGCGGCCACCTGGCCAAGGACAGCTTGTGGCAGTCTAAATCCCCGGACGCGGCCCCGACCCGGCGGCGCTCCTCGTCGCTGTCGCGTGACACCGAGCGCCGAGCCTACCAATGGTGCCGGGAGTACCTGGGCGGGGCCTGGCGCCGAGTGCGGCCGGAAGAGCTGAGGGTTTTCCCTGTGAGGTGGGAGGTCAGGGGTTAGCCCCTCCTGTGCGCCGCCGGGGCCAGGGTCAAGGGTCAGCCTCGGAGTCCTCGAGACTTTCCCGCTTCTGCTGTCTCCCAGTGCTCACGCTTTGGGTGGGGCGGGGCCCGCGGAGGGCTGGGCTCGGGGGCGGGGCCCGAGGAGGGCGGGGTCCGAGGAGGGCKGGGCTAGGGGCGGGGCCCGCGGGGGCAGAGCCGGGCGGGGCTAGGTCGCACTGTGAGGGACTTTCTCCTGCTGAGGGTGCCTGATGTGGGTCTGCAGCGGAGGTCTCAGCAACCTGCTCTTCCGCTGCTCGCTCCCGGACCACCTGCCCAGCGTTGGCGAGGAGCCCCGGGAGGTGCTGCTGCGGCTGTATGGGGCCATCCTGCAGGTAAGAGGGAGTTAGGGCTGCAGGATGGCCCCATACAGCCTTAAGTCGTGCTGGTAGTGTCGTCCCCATTGTGCCGTTGAGGCCAGGGACTCAGTGATTTGTACTTTATCATACTAGAACTTGTGCTCCAGAGCCTCCAGGTAGTAGATAGTTCCAACTATGGCGGGCACAGAAGGCAGACGCTCCTGTATGTGCCAGTGCCCCACTGCCTTGGGTCCTCCTGACGTGCCCCTTTACTGTCCATCTTCCTTCAGGGTGTAGACTCCTTGGTCCTAGAAAGCGTGATGTTTGCCATTCTTGCAGAGCGGTCGCTGGGTCCCCAGCTCTATGGAGTCTTTCCAGAGGGCCGGCTGGAACAGTACCTCCCAGTATGAACCCAGCCCTCTTCTCCCCAAATCGCCTTCTCCCCTCAGTCCCTATCCCTTCCCCAGTGTCTGCATTCACATCCCAGTCTTTTCCCCAAGACTTTGGCCTCCTCCCATTCCCCTACCCCTTCCCCCTCCTGCCCCCTCACCACCCTGATAGGTTCCTGGGTGCAGAGCCGACCATTGAAAACTCGAGAGCTTCGAGAGCCAGTGTTATCAGCAGCCATTGCCACGAAGATGGCCCGATTCCATGGCATGGAGATGCCGTTCACCAAGGAGCCCCACTGGCTGTTTGGGACCATGGAACGGTAAGTCAGGCTTAGGACTTACCTGAACTGGCACACACCTGAACTGAACCAAATTCTGTCCAGCCCTACAGTCAAGTGGATTAGGCATTCCAGTATCTGGTATGGGCACCCATGCTTCTCAGCCAATAGAATGACTTAATCTGGTTTCAAGGGTAGTTGGGAGAGAGGGTAAGGACAGCAGAGTGAGTGTATTCTATTCTTTGGGCTTCAGGTACCTAAAGCAGATCCAGGACTTGCCTCCCACTGGCCTCCTCAATATGAATCTGCTGGAGATGTACAGCCTGGAGGATGAGATGGGCAACCTCAGGTAAGGGCAGGCAAGTTGTGGGTGTGAGGAAGGTAGCACCAAGAAACTAGGAGTCCTCCCCAGGATCTACTTAGGGTTTGGGTCATGGCCTAGCCTACGAGGGCGACTCTAGTCATTCCTAATCAGTACCCTTGCCTCTCCTACCCTTATAGAAAGCTGCTAGATTCTACGCCATCGCCAGTGGTCTTCTGCCACAATGACATCCAAGAAGGTAGGAGAAGTTTTCCAATCCAAGGTAGAGGGGCCAAAGGGCCCTCATGTGATCCAAACCCCATCCCATTCCCCCAGGGAACATCCTATTGCTCTCAGAGCCTGAAAATGCTGACAGTCTCATGCTGGTTGATTTCGAGTACAGCAGTTATAACTACAGGTGAGGGTAGGAGGGAAGGCTCCTATACACCTGGTTACATGGGAGGAAAAACAGACCAGGTGTTCATCTCTGCATTGTAGCTGCCCAGGGCATTTGGGAACTGAATGTCTACCTTGCTATACACCTGGTTGTGGAAGGAAAAATAGACCAGGTGTTAATCTCTGCATTGTAGCTGCCCAGGGCTTTTGGAAATAATGTCTACCTTGTTTCCCCAGAGGCTTTGACATTGGGAACCATTTTTGTGAATGGGTTTATGATTATACTCATGAGGAATGGCCTTTTTACAAAGCACAGCCCACAGACTACCCTACCAGGGGACAACAGGTATGTGGGCTGGAGGATGGGAAACAGGCCTCATCCTGTAAGGGAGGAGGGAAGTCAGTCTTGGAAGGGTATGGCCAGAAAGGGTGCTAAATATTTCAGTCTCTCCAGTTCCTGGCTCTTGTCCATTGATTTCAGCTCCATTTTATTCGCCATTACCTGGCAGAAGTAAAGAAAGGCGAGACCCTCTCCCAAGAGGAACAGAAAAAATTGGAAGAAGATTTGCTGGTAGAAGTCAGTCGGTGAGGAAGGGAGGGGCACCATGAGAGTAGGCCAGGGCTCCAAGAAAAGGGGGATTACAGGTAAGGTGCCAATGCACATTGAGGCCAGAGATATGGAACACGAGGTTGAGGCTGGCGAGGAGGAACAGTTTTGAGAACTGCAAGAGTCAGGATGAGGTAGGGATTAGAATAATGGAGAAGCTAGAGTTTAGGGACTGACCAGCCTAGGGAAGGGGATCCAGGCAATGCCAAATGTGCTCTTAAATGTCTCTTCTTATCCTGCCCCCACCTCCAGGTATGCTCTGGCATCCCATTTCTTTTGGGGTTTATGGTCCATCCTCCAGGCATCCATGTCTACAATAGAATTTGGTTACTTGGTAAGTAATCCAGGGGTGGGCATGTTAGGTGGGAGCTGGAGTGCACCAGGGACCAGGTGGTCAAAGGATGGTATAGGGTGCTGGTCCTAAGTTCTTCACTGTTGTGTGAGGTGAATTTCCTTTCCTAGGAGTATGCCCAGTCTCGGTTCCAGTTCTACTTCCAACAGAAGGGACAGCTGACCAGCTTCCACTCATCATCCTGACTGTCCAGTTCCTACTCCTCAGAGTTTCTCCTGGAGCCTCCAGGGCAGGACCTTGGAGGGAGGGGCAGAGGGCAGGAGTCCCTGGGATGGGGCTGTGCCCCACAGTGCAACTGTATGAGGAGGCTGACCTCTCCTCCAATTTGAATAATCCCCAAGGCAGGCAGGCAGGAGCCCTTGGGCTGTGTACCTTAATAAATGAGCTTCTTCCTTCACAAGATATCTTGTTCCTGACTAGCTGCAGCAAAAATACCAAGCCAAGGAATGCACACAGACTGACCAAGTGACCACTGCTTTCTGTTCTGTGGTCTGAGCTTAAAATGGCTGAGGATCCATTCTGCCCATTGGGGTACCCTATCCCTCAACCCTCCCCTCCTTGCAGCCTAGAATAACAAATAAAGGGAGGACTGGGGAGTGAAGAGGTTACAGAGAGCCCTGGGATGAGCAGCCAGCCTGAGAAGGGATCAGGGAACAGGCTGCTCAGCTGACACAGCCAGCGACCTTTCCCTTACATTCAACTATTTTTAGCTCTAATGCCATCCTCCTCACGTGAAACTCTTCCCCCCCCCCATCGTCATCCCCAACCCTTGGGCTCCCAGATCTTCAAGCACCCTTCAGTCTGCAGGAACTTCGCCTACCCACCTGATTCCCACCGTGGAAGGGGAGTTTCTGGTTCCGCCCTGCATCTATTTTCTCGACCCCAATTTGGGAGTGGGTGTCAGATTCCCGGTAAGGGCGGGGTATCGGTGGCCCAGCCTGAAGGACGTGGGGACATGGGCCAGAGTGGCCAGCCCCATACACTGACAGGACCGAACCTGAGCTGTGAGTAGGGACCAGAAAAGGGCGGCCAAGCCCCCACTCGGCCCCTAGCCCAGCTCGGGAGCCCAGCCGGTGCTGAAGTCCCGAGTCGGGCCGCCTGGAACCCGGCTCTGTCCAGGCCGACTCCGCTTCCCCGGACGCTTCTCCCAAGCCCAAGGCCGCCCTTCGCTGTCCTTGGGGTTCCTGGAGCTTTCCTGGCCCGGACCCACTTCCTTCGCCATCAGAGCTAGGCCAGTCCGCGGCCGGCCGTTGGCGGGGCTGGGAGAGCCCGCCCGCCCGGGGGGCGCGGGCCTCCGAGGCCGCCAGGGGGTGGGGGCAGGGCGGGAAGGCGGGGAGGGGGCGGGGGGCGCCTGGGCCGGTGGGGCGGGGCCTCAGCTGGGGAGGGGGCGGCCCGGGCGGCGCTGGCCTGAGCTCGCTGCACCCCCCTGCCACCCACYCCCAGGTGCCGACCGACCCCCGGGATGGCGGAAGCACACCAGGCCGTCGCCTTCCAGTTCACTGTGACCCCTGACGGGGTCGACTTCCGGCTCAGTCGGGAGGCTCTCAAACACATCTACTTGTCCGGAATCAACTCCTGGAAGAAACGCCTAATTCGCATCAAGGTGGGCTCAGGTGGTCCTGACCTCTCTCCCAGCAGGTGCAGGGCAGAGGCCCCATTATCGGGGTCTCTCCTTGCTTTGCTTTAGCAGCGTGGTGGGTACAAGCCCTAGCAGTGCAGAAACCATGGTGGTGACAGAGGTGTGGTGGGGCACGGTGAGCAATGGGGTGCTTCAGGTGTGGGTGCCTGAGAAGGAGAATACAGGTGGTTGAGGCAATTCGCGCAGAGAGCCAGGTCCCAGGACTTCACAGGTGCCTGATTACCTCATCTTTCTTCTCCACAAGGATGTCTATTTCTGCCCCACAGAATGGCATCCTTAGGGGTGTGTACCCTGGCAGCCCCACCAGCTGGCTGGTTGTCGTCATGGCAACAATGGGTTCCTCCTATTACAAGGTGGATATCTCCATGGGTCTGGTCTGTTGTATCCAGAGTTGCCTCCCTGAGAGGTAAGAAGCCAAGAAGGCAAAAGTGTCAAGGGCAAACCAGGGTAGCTCCCAAGGCCAGGGTTCCTGAGTTGGGCAGATACAGGACAACAGCCATGGCTGGCCACAGGGGCAGTGCTCCCCCTGGGCCACCATCATCTCAGTCCCACATCAGTTTGTATTTGATAAATATACCTTAATATGTGTGCCCAGAGAGTTTCTTGCCCCTCTGCGCCTCCCCTGAGATAGTTCCAAGTCATCAGCTGCATGTCAGAATTCCCAAGACTGGTCTCCCCTGCAGCCTTCCTTCCTTCTCCAACAGGTGTGGCCCCTACCAGACCCCGCAGACCCGGGCACTTCTCAGCATGGCCATCTTCTCCACTGGGGTCTGGGTGACAGGCATCTTCTTATTCCGCCAAACCCTAAAGCTGCTTCTTTCTTACCATGGGTGGATGTTTGAGATGCATGGAAAGACCAGTCACTTCACCAAGATCTGGGCTGTGAGCAGAAGTATTGGCGGGTTCAGGCACTTGGTTTGAGAACCCGCGGGGCTCATTTGGGGTCTGAGAAGGAGGTGAGAGGCAGACTGAGCACTGGTGTCTGGTGCATGGTTTGTCCTGAAGGGGTCAGGATAGTTCTGAAGGCCTGCTGATTTGTGTCTGTTCTTCCACTGGCTCCCACACCAGCTCTGTGCTCTGTGTCCCCAGATCTGTGTCCGCCTTCTGTCCAGCCGGCGGCCTATGCTGTACAGCTTCCAGACATCTCTGCCCAAACTTCCTGTCCCCAGCGTACCAGCCACAATTCAGCGGGTGAGGGCCTGGGTCCCAGTGGGCACAGGAGGCTGGATTCAGAAAACTTGCCCAAACATAAAGAACTATTCCCTGTAAATAATGGGCTTGAGAGTAATGGGGCCAGGGTGAGGAGAGAGAGGTGGGAAGAGAGTTAAGGCAGAGGTAGCCATCACCGTCTGGCTTCCATGTAATGATAACTTGGCTGAACAGTACTTGGAGTCTGTACGGCCCTTGTTGGATGATGAGGAATATTACCGCATGGAGACACTGGCCAAGGAATTCCAGGACAAGACTGCCCCCAGGCTGCAGAAATACCTGGTACTCAAGTCATGGTGGGCAACGAACTATGTAAGTTTGCTGTCCTGGGCTTGTCCTCACCCATAGGTCTGACTGCCCCTTCCCCTGCTCTAACCTCCATCCACCCACAGGTGAGTGACTGGTGGGAAGAGTACATCTACCTTCGAGGCAGGAGTCCCCTCATGGTGAACAGCAACTACTATGTCATGGTAAGAACTAGAGCCCCCTGGCTCTGGGGCCGGGATTTAGGACAGCCCAAAGACTTAATGGAAGTTCCTGTGGGTGAGTGGGGGTTGTAGAGTGAGATCTGAGAGAGAGGGAGGAGAGAGGGGAGAGCCTGGAAGAAGAGTCCTGAGGCAGTACAGGGGAAGTGGCCATTCCAGGACAAGGAGAATCCTGAGACCCTGTAGCCTGTCACTGCCTCGTGGGGTCTCTTGGGCTCAGAGACCGCCTTCTGTCCAGCCTGCCTGACTCAGACTTTGTCATGGCCTTTCTTGTTCCCTCACTAGCTTCCCAASCACAGGTTCCGTAGACACTTTCTAGGGGACTTCCTAAACCCACCTGGCTTTGTCATTCTGTGGAGCCATGTGATGAGAACCAGGCTTCACTTCTTAGGGCTCAGGAACTCACTGTCTGTCTCAGTCCACCTGACTGGCACTTGTCCTGACTGTCGCTAGTGCACAGCCAGCTGGTCTCCCTGCTCTCTCCTTTCCCACTGTCCAGAGTACACAGGACAGGGCAGCCTATTGGAACTCCCCTCCTCCACAAACTGTCTTTCCAGAAACTTACACTCAACCTGTCCAAACCACAGGTTTTAAGCTGCTCTTTGGTGGTAGAACCCCTTCTTCAAAGCAAAACATGAACAAATAAAATAGCAACAGATGAAAAATGCAGCTCTGGTTGAAGCTGGGTAGCTGGAGCAGGGTAGTGTCAGTTACACGTTGGACTGAGAGCACCTCATGCCCTGGATAAGTTGGTCCTTGGTGGGGTGAGACCCAGGTGACCCAGACAGAGGCCCCCACCCTGCAGGCTCTGCTCTGTCTGTAGGACCTTGTGCTGGTCAGGAACACAGAAGTACAGGCAGCCCGCCTGGGAAATGCCGTCCATGCCATGATCATGTATCGCCGCAAACTGGACCGTGAAGAAATCAAGCCTGTGAGTTACATCGGGATGGAGAATGGGGTGGGAAGGGGAGGCCTGAGTCTGAGCCATCCTGGGTCTTCCTCCCAGGTGATGGCACTGGGCATAGTGCCCATGTGCTCCTACCAGATGGAGAGGATGTTCAACACCACCCGCATCCCGGGCAAGGAAACAGGTACGAGGCCACAGCCAAGCACCACTGGCCCATCATGGCTAGGTGCCCTACTGCCTGCTCACCAACCAGAATCTCCAGTGTCTCAGGATCAGGAACCTGTGAAAAGTGGTCAATTTGTGACGGATACCAGACATGTGTCATTTGCAGGCATGATCCTGGTGCTGGGACCCCAAGGGGCCCAGAACAGAGCTTCTCCCCTCCAGGGCTTCACTGTGCATGGGAAAGTGGTCGTGTGAGTAAATAGCAGTGGAGCTGAGAAGCACAGATACCCTCCCCAGAGTCCGTAGAGGAGGAGAGAGCAGCAGGTCTGGCAGAGGCAGTGGCCTTCCCTGTTGCTGACACTGTCTCCTGGGGCTCTCTGTATAATTTCCTAGCTCGTGGGCTCCTTCTTCTATGGAAGATCTCACAGGATGGTGGTGAGGTAGTCCAGGGCCTGGCTTAGCATGGAGATCCACCCCAAGGGGAAGGAAGGCCCAGGATAGAGCTGGGCAAAGCAGGGTCTGCCAGGGCCACCGAGAAAGGGCTCACCTGGGGAGAAGTCTCCCCCAGGACCTGCCTCAGCCTGCCCACCGGCCTCTGTCACAGATGTGCTGCAGCACCTCTCCGACAGCAGGCACGTGGCCGTCTACCATAAGGGCCGCTTCTTCAAGGTGTGGCTCTATGAGGGCTCCCGCCTGCTCGAGCCTCGGGACTTGGAAATGCAATTCCAGAAGATCCTGGATGACCCCTCCCCACCCCAGCCTGGGGAGGAGAGACTGGCAGCCCTCACTGCAGGGGGAAGGTATCCGGGCCTGTGGGGAGGGTTTGCCTTGGGCTAGGTTCAAGGCCTCATGAGGAAAGAGCTTGGACCTGTGTGCCACCCTGGCACTGGGGGTGGGTGGGGCCACACAGTGAGGGCCCTGGAGATGTCAGCAGTGGAGGGCGGGACCAGAGGCTCCTCCCTCACCCAAGCCCAGCCCCGCCCAGCCAGGTCCTGGGTGGCACTCAGATCCAAAGTCCTCTGCCCTTGTGCTCCCAGGGTAGAGTGGGCACAGGCACGCCAGGCCTTCTTCAGCTCTGGCAAGAACAAAGCTTCTCTGGAGGCCATCGAGCGGGCTGCGTTCTTTGTTGCCCTGGATGAAGAGTCCCACTGCTACAACCCTGATGACGAGGCCAGTCTCAGCCTCTACGGCAAGGCCCTGCTGCATGGCAACTGCCACAACAGGTGTGTGCCTTGGCCTCCGTGCTGAGGGTTGGCAGTGGGGCTAGAGAATTAAGAGAGAAGTCAGGGTCACGGTCAGTAGTCAGGTTGGAGTGGAGATAGAGGTTACTTTTAGGATCACAGTTGAAGACTGAGGAGTCTCCACATTAGGATTAGGTTTAGGGCTTGGATTGTTGGTCAGAACTGAAGGATTGGGATTGTAGTGTAAGGGTCTGTGTATGTCCCCAGCTCTTGAGTCACGCTGTGTCTACTTCTCCTTCAGGTGGTTTGACAAATCTTTCACTCTTATCTCCTTCAAGAATGGCTTGTTGGGCCTCAACACAGAACATGCGTGGGCAGATGCCCCCATCATTGGGCACCTTTGGGAGGTAACAGGGTTGGAGGGGGATCTGCAGGGCAGGCACTGGCAATGGGGCTTAGTTCTCAGCTTGACGTTTCTCTCCAGTTTGTCCTGGGCACAGACACCTTCCACCTGGGCTACACAGACACTGGGCACTGTCTGGGCCAACCAAACCCGATGCTCATACCTCCTCAGAGGCTGCAGTGGGACATTCCTGAGCAGGTATGCAGACCAAGAGCAGTAGGCTGGCGCGTGAGTGATGGGTTCTGAGTTGCTCTGCCTTCTCCTCCCCTCTAGTCCCTACTACTTGGTCTGGCCCTCAGGGGAAAGGGACAGGAGCTCCCCTGGGATGCCACAGGGAAAGCAGAGTCCCTGGGTCATCTGTCATTGGTGAAAGGTGGAGATGTGGGGCTTATGTCTACCAGCACCTGTTAATGCCTCCCTCTTCCCGCTCTGGCTTAGTCGGGCCTCACAGAGTCTCCTCAGGTTGTTCTTTGTGCCCCCTGCCAGTTAAGCTACCTTTGCTCGTCACCTGTCACCAAGATGTCATGCCTCCTAGACCTGACCTGGAGTCCTGCTTGGAGGGCTCTGCCCCCAGCTGACTCGTCCATGTCTTGGCAGTGTCAGGTGATCATCGAGAGATCCTACCAGGTGGCCAAGGCACTGGCAGATGATGTGGAGCTGTACTGCTTCCAGTTCTTGCCCTTTGGCAAAGGCCTCATCAAGAAATGTCGGACCAGCCCTGATGCCTTTGTGCAGATCGCCCTGCAGCTGGCTCACTTCCGGGTAGGAGCCCCTTGGGTGCTGAGTGGGCAGGGCAGCACCAGGGTTACCTGATGGATTCACCCTTCTGTGTACCCCAGGACAAGGGCAAATTCTGCCTGACTTATGAGGCCTCCATGACCAGAATGTTCCGGGAGGGGCGGACTGAGACCGTGCGTTCCTGTACCAGTGAGTCCACAGCCTTTGTGCAGGCCATGATGGAGGGGTCCCACATGGTGAGCCCCCACCCACCCTTGCTTCTCATTCTCCAGCCCCCTGTCTGCCTTAAGGGTCAGGGCTACTCTTTACCCCTCTAATTCTGCCCTCCAGAAAGCAGACCTCCGAGATCTTTTCCGGAAAGCTGCTGAGAAGCACCAGAATATGTACCGCCTGGCCATGACAGGGTCTGGAATTGACAGGCACCTCTTCTGCCTGTATGTAGTCTCCAAGTACCTGGGGATCAGCTCTCCTTTCCTGGCTGAGGTCAGTGTTGATGGTGGGTGTGTCCTCCACCCCCCTGCCTTCAGGCCCCAGGGGCTTGGCCTTGGGATGGGGCTCTACTCTTTTCTGCCTGGCCAGTTCCCGTGAAGTTGCTGTGGAAGGTGGGGGCCATCTTTCCCACACCATGCCCAGCCCAGGTCAGCAGGGTCCTCCTGGTGGAGTCACTGTGCATGTCAGGGAGACACACACAAACGTGTGACCCATCAGGTGATGGCTGCGCTATTGAGAAAAGAAGCTGAGGCAGGGGAGGGGCCAAGGGCCTTGCATGGCAAGATGGAGGGTTTCCCACAGAGGCTGAGGTGAGACAGAAGGGCTGTGTGGACCAGGGGCAGCAGCCAGGGAGCTCCTGAACACTGCGTACTCCTGCTCCTTCCGTCAGATGTGGCCTGCCTCAGGTCTGGACCTGAGTGTGCCGAGTGCCTCATGCCCAGCTGGCTTTCGCCTCCCTCTTGCAGGTGCTCTCGGAACCCTGGCGCCTCTCCACCAGCCAGATCCCTCAGTCCCAGATCCGCATGTTTGACCCAGACCAGTACCCCAATCATCTGGGTGCTGGAGGTGGCTTTGGCCCTGTGAGTATCCCTGAGGAGGCGTGGGCAGCACCAAAGCCCAGGGTTTCATGAGGGGGTGCAGAGCCCTGACCAAGGCAGACCCGGGTAGGAGTACCTTGTTTAGAGGAAATTCCCAAACCTGCATGACAGCAGAATGGCAGCTGTCAACCCAGCATACGGGACCAGGACCCAGCCGTGCTAAGCACCTTTCCACCGAAGCGTGACCACATCCAGAGCAGGTTTCCAAGGAACAGGGCCACATGTCGGGTCCTTCTGAAACATGTCTACTCAGCGAGTCCAGCTCTTTCCTGCTGAGACATGCACCCCGATGCCCAGCTGGTTTGTCAGAAGGCTAGAGGCTTCCCTGGAGAAAGGAGGATGGTCTAGAGCATGAGGTTCTTGAGGGAAACAGCAGTCTGGGATACCTGGTAGGGGTCCAGAACCAGAGGGGCAGCATGGTTTGATCTTCACACTGTTTCCTGGGTGGGGAGAGGGTCCTGCCCTTGGAAGGATGCAGCATCTAGAGGTGGACCTCCTCCTGAGTCTCGCTTGGCTTTCAGGCCTTCAAGGTCAGTTTACATCTTCTACTTCACCTCTCCTCCTCAGGTAGCAGATGATGGCTATGGGGTTTCCTACATGATTGCAGGTGAAAACACTATCTTCTTCCACATCTCCAGCAAATTCTCAAGTTCAGAGACGGTGAGTCTCCCCTGCTCCAGCTCAGCCCTGAGAAAGGGGTACCACCTGGGGCAGCCCGGGAGCACACTGCATCTCTGGGTGGAGATTAGTCCTTGTTTGTGGGGACAGGGGTGGGCGCTCTCCAGATGGTGTGTCTGACTCCTCATTTCCCACAGAATGCCCAGCGCTTTGGGAACCACATCCGCCAAGCCCTGCTGGACATCGCTGATCTTTTCCAAGTTCCCAAGGCTGACCGCTGAGGACTGGAGAAATGCCAGCTGCCCTTTCATCCCCACGTTGTGGAAGAAGGGGCCTGTGACTTGCTTGCAGACACAAGGGTGGCCGTGCCCAGGTGCCCAGCTCTGAGGACAGCTCTGGCAGCAGGCACTCCCCAGGTGGACGCTGCTCCCTGAGGGCCTAGGTGGCCGAGGTGCAACAGGGAGGGAATTTYGATTTGATTTTTTTGTCTTAGTAGATACTAATAAAAATAAGGCTGTGTAATTCTCTATTTTTTCTTGGGGAACTAGAAGGCCCTCCCCCTGCCCCAACTCAGGTCAGAATGGTGGAAAGGAAGGCCTGGTGTGGGGAACTTTTCATGAGGGGCTTGTGGCCTGCTTTGAAGTGTGTGTATCTGCAAGTGAAGCCAGCTCTGACTGCTGTCCACACCCTCATGTGCACTTGGAATAGATCATTGCTCCAGAACCTTCCCTGGTTCCCCAAGGCCACCTCTGTTTGTTTTCCAGAGAGCAGGTCCATCTGTCTCCTCCACACTCAGACGTGCCCACTCTACCCCTCTGGGCTGGAGCACAACTCTGCAGAGGCCTGTGGCATCCTCCCAGATTAGGTGGGGCCCAAATTCCAGACCTGAGGCCAGAGTGCCAGGTGATCATATCTGGGAGAAGGCATAAGGGAGACAACATATCCCTCCACTCAGATTGGCTTTTCTATTAAGTAACATTGAGTAAACCAAAAACAGTTCTTATGAACAGTGTGAGTGGGTGCTGAATTACTATTGCTGCATGCTTGAATTAATCCAGATCTCAGTGTTCTCTAGGTGCTCAGAACACAGAAGTGGACCAGGCTAGGTTTGGGGCCTTCACTTAGAAACCAGTGTTGGCTGAGCACCCACCACAGACATGGCCCTGTGCTGAACAGGGCACTCCGTCTGCCCAGGGTAATTCGTTGCCAGGTGAGGCAAGCACCATAAGCACTGAGTAGCCGGTGGAAACCAGGAGGCTTTGAGAATAACCCATTTAGCAAGTACTTACTGAGTGCCTGGCACTGGGCTGCAGCAGTGGACAAAACTAGCCAATGCTTCCTGTGGGATGGGAGTCTAATAAAGGATACAGAAAATAGCTGAGAAGAAGATGGACATCACACAGTAAGTCAGAGAGAGATAAGTTCTAAGGAGACGGGGCAGATGGAGGGGTAGATGGTAATTCCAAAGGGCAGGCCTTCCTGAACGGAGCCACTGCTGGCAGACTTGAATGAGAGGAGGGAGAAGAGTCGTCCCTCAAGTCCCATCCTTGAGGCAGAGCAGTTCCTGGCCAAAGGGTCAGCAAGAGCTAAGGCTCCGAGGAAGGAGGTGCCTGCTGCAGGAAGTCTGCACGGGAGGGCCTGCAGCCGGTATGGTGTCGGGGAGAGGGGCAGGGGCAGGCAGACAGGAGGCAAGTCTCCAAGACCTGACCCTGGCTTCTTGAAAAGATGGGGAAGCTGGTGGGGTCTGAGCACAGGGTGACAAGAACTGTCCAAATTTTAAGAGGATCTCTCTGGCTAACCAGGATGGTAGAACAAAGTGGGATGCAGAAGGGAAGAAACAGGAGGCCTGTCAGGGAGCTTCACTGTGGTGGTGGCAGAGGGGCTGACACAAAGGTAGTACCATAGGACTGGAGAATTGAGGAACTGAGAAGCTCGAAGCTGGGACTGACGAGCCTGATGTAGAGGCATCAAAGATAACTCAATTTTTTTTTTTTTTTTACTTTGGGTGACTAAGATTTTTAAATGTGAAATTTGACTTGCCTATAAGGTATATTCATAAGAATGTCCCAAAGACTCTTGAAAACATAAATTAAAAACTAAGGCAAGATACAAACTCCTTATAACAGTTTTTTATTTTGTTTTGGGGTACCAGGGTTTGAACCCAGGGGTGCTTAACCACTGAGCCACATCCTCAGCCCTTTTTAGTATTTTATTTAGAGACAGGATCTCGCTGAATTGCTTAGAGTCTCATGATCCTCCTGTCTCAGTCCAAGCCACTGTGATTATAGGCATGCTCCTCCACTTCTAGCCCTATAACCATTTTGAAGGTGATTCTTGGGGCACAGGCTTCCAACCTCTTGAGTCTCCATAAGTTCATAAAAATACTACTATGCTCATAAAATGTTACATTCTATATCAGAGCTTTCTTGGGCTTCCAAAATATCTTCACAGACTTCAGCCTCTCACAGTCTGCACAGGAGGGCCTGCAGCTGGTATGGTGTCGGGGAGAAGAGCAGGGGACGGGCAGACAGGAGGCAAGTCTCCTGTCCTGTGTAATATCCCCTGGGAAAGAGGGTTTTAGTAGGTTTCACCCCATGCCTGGAGAGCAATGAACAGGAAGTTTTCAACAAGCTGGCATTAAGTTAATGTTGAAATTCAGTCATTCAAGTTCTTTTATCAGGTTTGTTCTTGGTTCACATAAGTGAGAGGAAAGCCAAGCCTGGTAGCACATACCTGTAATCCCAGTGACTCAGGAGGATGAGGCAAGAGGGTCACAAGTTTGAGGCCAGCCTCAGCAACTTAGTGAGACCCCCTGGTCAAAATAAAAAATAACAAAGACGGGGGATGCATCTCCGTGGTAAAGTTCCCCTGTGTTGAAGTCCCACTACCAAAAGAAAAAAGTGAAAGGAGAAACAATAATGCTAAACCAGGGTATAAACCCCTGGTGAAAACCCGCCATACCCAAATAAGTTCCTTTATGTCTCATGGGTTTGCAAATCTGCATTAATTAAGACTAGTAGCCACAACAGATAAATCCTAAAATCTCAATGACTTAACCCAAAAGAGTAAAAGTTAAATTCTTGGTCAAATCAAATCCAGTGGCGTGAGGTTGGGGCTTTGCTCCATACCATTTTTTGAGGACCTAGACTAATAGAAGCCCTACCTTCAGCATGAACACTGAACAAGTACATAGGGCAAAGAGAAAGTGAGGGCCACTTGTGGAAGGCTTTGATGGACCTAGGCTGGAAATGATGAAGGGCACTTCCATCTACAACCCCCTGGCGGAGACTCATTGCAAGGAAATGTCAGAAGTGAAGTCGGGCTGAGTGCCCAGGCTGTAATGGAAACGTTTGATGACAGCTGGTCTCAGAGGCACAAGGACACAGAACAGACTGACATCTTAGGAGCTTCCTGAGGGACCAAACCTTCATGGCAGGGGCTCTGCAGGAAATTTCAGATAGCACACCTCTATCTGCTCACACTTAAGCCAAACTGACCTTCCCTGAGTCCCCTCTCCATTCCCCAAGGAAGGCAAGCTCATCCACATCCTTACCTTTGCCCTTGGTGGACCTTCTGCCTGGAATCCTGGGCCCTTCTCAGCCTTGTAAACTCACTCCTCAAGTCTGACGGGACTACACTTACATCAGAGTTAACCCCAATTCATGTTTTTCTGGAGTGTTACAATGGAAATCAGTGCTGGACTATTTAAGAAAATGGAAGGATGATTGGAAATATGAAGGGCAGGTTCTGGCAGGAAAGGACAGCCAGAAAACCAGGTTCAGAAGGGACAGAAGCCTGGCAGCTTAGGGAGGAGGTGTGGCCCAGGGAGCAGTCTCTTCAATAAACAGGCAATGCTCACTAGTGTCCAGAACTGTCTGCCTCAATTCCAGCTCCTCTAACCTCCTCTTGGGTTAGACTGCTAAGAATCAGATTACTTTTAAATGCTTTTTAAAATGGAGGTGAGGGGTGAGGAGCAGGGTCTGGGTTTGTCAGTATTTTCAGACACAAGGTGTTCAAAATTAACCACCTTCCAACTGGCCTCTTGGTGCTCTTTCCTCTCCACCTCTGTACCATTTCCAGCCACATGCATATTCCTTCTTTCTCCCTCACCTCCCACGACCGAGCTCTGTTCAGTACACCTTCCGAACACCTTTTGATCCTCTGTACTTCCCTCCACCCTGGCCATGCCTACCCTTCTCCACACCTCCATCATCACTCACCCAAAGAGCCAGAGCTCGCTCCCTCTCCATCCTGCGCCCCCACCCACCTGCCGCGGGGCAGATGGCCCCTCCATTGTCACTCCTCCCTGTGCAGCACGGGCGAAGGTGGGGTTAGGCATTCCCTGCTTGGTGAGCTCTGCCTCCACTGCCCAGAGGTCAGGAGCGCCAGGGGACCTGGGCCCACACTGCCTAGCTTGGCATCCTTGTGTGTACCCTGCTGCTTTTCGCAGGCGCTGCCCCAGTGTCACGATGGGCAAAAGGTGCGACTTATGCAGTCAAGGGGGAGAAATAAAGAATGGCCACACGTTTCTGCCCTTTCCCATGATTCATTCACTCAAATCACTCAATACAATTTCACTATAGGTTCTTGATCAAGAAAACGACGATCCTTAATGCCAGGCGCTGCAATAGACATAATCAATTCACAGCACACAGTTCTAGATTAAGTAATTCTAGGCACTGCAAACACACTCATGACAGGCTCCTGACAGACATTCCTTCTACAAGCGAAGTTCAGGTGCTGGGAGTAAAGTCTCAGGCCTTGGGCTCCAAGTCCACAGATGCCCACTCACTCAGACAGTGAGCAGGTCAGGAACCAAGGCAGACTTCCCCTGGGGTGGAGCCGATGGCCAGCTGAGAGGATCCTAGGGAGAAGTCGCAGCCCCCACCAGGGTCAAGATGTGGCTGTAGAGTTGGAGAGCAGTGAGGACCACGCAGAGGRTCAGCCAACAGTGACAAGTGACGGGATGTCAGTCCAGGTCCTCACAGGCTCTGAGGCTGTGTGCATCCTTGTTTTGCTGGCTGAATGTGTGTTCATCTGCTCCTTCATTTACAGTAAAGTTGGGGCTTCGGACCACCTTTCAATCCCTATCAGCTGCCACTGGATTTCTCCGTCATTTACCCTGGGGTTAAAGCTTCTGGTCTGGGGGTCCCCACCCTGATTTTCTTGCCTTTCCCTCTGATGGGGTCCCTTTCCCCTTATGGGGTGAGCACAGCCTGCCAGAGGCTTCCCTCTGAGTTTGTCAGGGGGGAAGTGACTTGTCTGGGCCTGAGGGCGCACTGGAGGTCTGTAGGCTGCCTGGGGAAGCTGCTGGTTTCAAACTGGAGTTTTTTTAAACGGAATGCTTAGGCTCTGGCCTAAGGCCATCCTCACACCGGGCTTGGCTTGCCTTCCCTCAGGCCTCTGGTCCTTGGGAAGACCACAAATACTGGACTTTCACACACACACACACACACACACACACACACAAGGTTTACAGCATTGTCTACACCACGTGCTGCGCCCGAACACAGGGACACAGTGGTCAAACAGGTCCTCCGCACGCACGGCCTCAGGCAGAAACAGGTGGGGGGACTTCCCTGGGACCAGGCGGGTGCCCTTCGACCCCTCTCCCCCGCCCCACACAGGGGCCCCGCCCTTCTTCCAAGAACAGCCAATCAGTGTGAGAGGCGTGTTCTGAGGGCGGAGCTACCAACGGAAAGGGGCGGGGCGTGGTTGCCAGGAGTCC